GCCAGCAAACAGCTAAGATAGCATTTAAAAACAGAACATTTTATACTGTGCTTAAATATTGCTGGAAGCGAATTGCATTGCGGGCCACTAACACAATAGCTCCTGATTTCGGACTTCTCCTCATTTGCAATACAACACCATTTATATGCAATGGCACCTTTATTACATTGGGAGATCAATCCCAAAGTGCATTCGCAGTGTTAGGTGGGCTCCCAAGCTGAGGGGTGGTGGTCGAAGACGAGGTGGGGAGGTGGAAAGATGACCGAAAGCGTGGTCAAAGAGCTACATTTGCAGCTTGTTAAATACTATCTAAAATCTGTTAAATAATAATGATAATCCTTGCATTTCATACAGCGTCTTATCATGTTGTTGAGCCATCTCAAAGAGAATCACAGGATACACTGTAAAGTAGATTGTGCATTTAGAAGTCGAAATATGGCAGCCAACAGCAGTATCCCACAAACGATCGTAGATTGAGGGATCAACTTCTTTTTCTTTTTGGAGGGATTATTATTACCTCCAGAAAGCGATCCGCCAATCAGTTCCTGAGTTCCTACTTACTGCTAGGTAACCAGAGGCAAGTGGAGTAAGGAAACTTGCCTTAGGTTTGCCTAGATATTTTTATTAAAGAGCAGTCCCACATGGGACTCTTGTTTATTCACCTAATGGTTATTTGTGGGACTTTTCTGTGCGCAAAATTGCTTTGTCTACATTTGCCTATACATACAAAGTCACCACACTCAACCAACATGACCCTTGTGAGAAAATATTGCGAGAGACTCAGAAACGCTTGCGTACGGCGAGGCTTCAATACTGTGTGACTTCTTTTTTACACAGGAAGCAGCAATATTTTGTACAAATCTCATTTGTATTTTGAGGCTCCCTGGTTCAGTCAGGTTAATTTTGAGGTTCAAAATTTTTATTTTGCCCATTTGCTTTTGAGATGAACCTTTGTACCCCACTATTTGCGCTATTTCTCCTGCTGAACTTGATGACTTATAGACCCAAAGCAGACTCCTGAATTGCTTTCTCAAACCACCTCATGCTTGAAGCTGGCAAATAATAATAATAATAATAATCCTTGCATTTGATATAGCGCTTTTCACGTCGGGAGGACGTCCCAAAGTGCTTCACAGAGCACACTGTAAAGTGAATTGACTGTATATTTGTGGGCGAACGCGGCAGCCAATTGCGCACAGCAATGTCCCACAAGCAGTCGTAGATTGAAAATGACCAATTTATTATTGTTTTTGGTTTTGGGGGATTATTATTAGGCGTGTGGAGTAAGGAAACTTGCCCAAGGTTTCGTCCTGCCTGGAATTGAACTCAGGTGCTCTAACCACTGAGCTACAGGACTTCTCTATCCGGTCTGCTCAATACAGTAGACTTTTGAATAGTCCAATACCTGAAATAACATTGCACCACAACCCAAAATTTATGCGCTGTGCATCCATCTAATCCATTTTGCCTACAAAGGTTACACTTTTGAGGTGTTGCAAATATACAAAAGAGGCAAGCCTTGCCTTGCCTTGCGTCATACCTGATGGAGGTGAAAGGCATCCGTATGCAGGTCAAGCTTTAGGAATGCAGAAGCAGCAAATCCTGCTCAAGAGGATCAGCTGACACCTCAGCGTTCTCACACACCCACACAGTGGTTTAGTTTTCCAACTAACACCCAGTTTCCAGTGTTCGCTTTTCTGAAGGAACAGAGCATGTTTTGGGTACTCTTTGTTTGACATTGCTGTGCACAAATTGACTGCCACATTCGCCCACAAAATACAGGATCACTACACTTTACAATACATGTCAGCTTGGCTCAGTGGTAGCACTCCCACCTCTGAGTCGGAAGGTTGTGGGTTCAAGCCCCACGTTTGGGATTGGAATCACATAGTCTAAACTGACATTTCAATACAGTGCTGGGGATGTATTGCATTGTTGAGGAGCCGTCCTTCAGATGAGGCATTAAACTGTCCTGTCTGCTTGTTCAGGTGGGCATGAAAGATTCCACAGCACTATTTGAAAAGAGAAGGGAGTTTCTCCTGGCGTTCTGGCCAACAATCCCCTAAATAAAGTTAGTCACTCACTCCACGTCTCTTTGTGGGACATTACTACGGTTTGTGGGACACCTACACAACGTGAAAGGTGCTTATAAGTGTCCAGCGCCTTGGGACGTCCTCCCGACGTGAAAGGCGCTATACAAATGTAATCTTGTTGCTGTTGTTGTAAATTGTATTGTATTCTCATCCTCACTTTTAAAGCCCTCCCTGCTTCTTTGACTTACTAAATCCTTACCAACCTGTCCGCTCCCTATGCTCGGCGAGCACGGGTCTATTTTGTTACTCCCACCCTGCCAGCTCCACCATCGGTGGTCGGGCTCAGCCATTCTGCCACCACCCTCTGGAACACTATCCCTGAGTCTCTTCCCCTCTCTTGCCTTCTTCAAGCCCTTCCTTCTTGACCATGTCTTCAGTCATTCTCCCACCCCCACTTGCTGTGCTTGGAAAAATCAACGATTGATTGTAAGTGTGTAGTTGTTGTGATAAAGTCAAGGACGAGTTGCTTATTGTTAAATCAGTACAGTTTATCAGTCACGACACAAGATATTCCATATTAAAAGACAGAATGCATCCATTGTTTGAACTTTAAGACATTTCTTGGAAGGTCAAACATTGTTAGGCTGATTCTACTGAGGGGTTCTCGTGCTGGTTGGTGATAATTTATGGATAGTGTGTACTTCATGCCCCCTAATGGTACAATTTGAGTGTTGTCAAACTCATTGTGTGTAGGGAATCATATCAGCAGGAGTTGACGACCTTTAATTGTTTACACAATGGGATGCAACCTGCGAATGGAGTCTGACTCATAATCCGCTTCTCATTATAAGTGAAATGCTTTTATTCAGAAGAAAGCGTCCCTTCATGTGTGATTACGTGAGAGCAAAGCTATCCCATAGTGGTTAGCGTGCTCACCTTGCAAGCGAGAGGACCCGGGTTCGATTCCCAGGTGGGGTAAAACTTTAGGCAAGTTTCCTTACTGTACACGCCACTGTTTACCTAACAGTAAATCAAGACCCAGTTGTTAGTCGATTGGTGGATTGCTTTTCTGGGCATTATAGTCCCTTCAAAATAAAAACTACTAATAATGATTTGGTCACTCAATCCACGACTGTTTGTGGGATACTGCATGGCTGCCGTGTTTCGCCCACAAAATATACTGTCAATTCTCTTTGCAGTAAATCTTGTGAAGCGCTTTGAGACATCTCAAAGACATGGTAAGGCCCTATGCCAAATGCAAGAATTAGTATTATGTGAGGGTGAAACCACTGAGAATACTGAATCAAGCACAGAGGGCAGTAAGGTAAATTCCTCACAAACCCTGCAGATGTGAGAGAGTTGTAGATGTCAGATGACATGTTAAATCAAGGTCCCACCTGCCTGCACCCTGCTACTGAATTCGGAGAGTATTAGGCACAGGTTGGCAAGAGGTTTTGGAACCCCAGAGTGTGCGTTCGGGAAACTGCTGGAGTCTAACCAGCTAAAATTGCATAGCTTACCATTGATAACGCTGTCTGCCAAGCTTTCCCGCTGCTTGTCCAGCTAGGACCACCCTACCCGTTAGTGCTTTGACTTGCAGGGTTAATGGGAGCTGAATGGAAAGCATCTCTGCCCCCAGTGATTGGTGTGCCTTTACAAGTCCTGCCGATGAGCCAGGCTCTCTGGGCTGTCATCAACACTGCGCTGAAGTACAGCATACCTGCCTGGCTCAGGAACTGGTCTTCCGAGACCGCCACAGGGGATTGAATCGATTCCGACATTCCGTTGCCAAGCATGTCATCTTGGAATGAGTTCATTCAGGAAGAGCAGCAATGTCCTACAAAGAGAATGAGATGATTAATAATAAATAATAATCCTCACATTTGATATAGCGCCTTTCATATCGGGAGAACATCTTAAAACACTTTATGGGATAAAGCGTAGCGACTGTTTTTTGCAGGTAAACACTGCGCTATTATTATTAATAAACAGATATCTCATTTAGAATGCAATCAAGTGTTTAAAATGATAAAGGGGCTTTATATTATATCAACTTTACAATATATTCTGTGAAGCGCTTTGAGACGTCTCAGTGGTGTGATAAGGCGCTAAATCAAATGCAGGGATTATTACCCTTCCTGGAATACATTGTTGCAGGTCAACTTTGGTCACACCTCTCCCTCTGCTCTCTCCTCGAGCCCCTGCCGTCTGGTTTTCGTCCTGCCCACAGCGCAGAGACAGCGCTTGTCAAAGTCACAAACAACGTCCTATCCATCTGTGACCAGGGCTCCCTCTGCCTTCTTGCCCTCCTGGATCTCTCTGCCGCGTTCGGCACAGTCAACCACTTCCATCCTCCTCCGCTGCCTCTCCTCCCTTACGGTCACCTGCACCCCCCCACCCCAGCCCCCCCCCACCCCCCCCAGCTCGGAGACAGGCTCCACCACTGTTCAACGCTCTCCTGCCTGGTACGACCCGGGAGGATGTCTCCAGGCGACAAGGTCCAACGTCCGTGTGTAACTTGTGCAGACGAACCCGTGTGGCAAAATTAAGAAATAAAAACTCAAGCGCGTGCGAACGACACCTCCGCGGAGGCTTAGAAACGGCCTTTGTTATCCCACACAAATATATTACCAGCCTCTCAACTGCAGTGTGTGTGTGTGTGTGTGCGTGGGGGGGTGGGGGGGGGGGGGGGGGGGAGAGGAGGGGGTAAATCTCCAAATGCAGTAGAGGACATAAAATAAATATTTGGGAAATGAATTCGCTTTCGGCGCTGATGCAATTTTTCCTCCTTTTTTTTCCCTTTTGTTTTGCTGTTGGATCCTTCTTGTTCCTCCCACACTCCCCCCACATGGACCGTGAGGTCACCACCAGCCATGTGCCCACAGCGCTGTGCTCGGGGTTACCAGCGATCAGAGACCCCCCCCCCCCCCCTCACCATGGCCCGGACTGCGCCTGCGCAGCGCCCTCGGTATCCAGTGCCGAGCGGAGCGGCTTCACTGTAACCGCGGAGGTGAGTGAGTGAGTGAGTGAGTGGGGAGCGGAGACTGAGCAAACCCGGGGGGCGAGGGGAGAGGGGGGGCGAGGGGAGAGGGGGGGGCGAGGGGAGAGGGGGGGGCGAGGGGAGAGGGGGAGAGGGGGGGGCAAGGGGAGGGGGGGGCAAGGGGAGAGGGGGGGGCGAGGGGAGAGGGGGGGACCAAGGGAGAGGGGGGGCGAGGGGAGAGGGGGGGACCAGGGGAGAGGGGGGGGCGAGGGGAGAGGGGGGGGCGAGGGGAGAGGGGGGGGGCGAGGGGAGAGGGGGGAAAGCAAAGGGGAGAGGGGAGGCAAGGGGAGAGGGGGGGCAAGGGGAGAGGGGGGAAAGCAAAGGGGAGAGGGGGGGCAAGGGGAGAGGGGGAAACAAGGGGAGAGGGGGAAAGCAAGGGGAGAGGGGGGAAAGCAAAGGGGAGAGGGGGGCAAGGGGAGAGGGGGGAAACAAGGGGAGAGGGGGGAACAAGGGGAGAGGGGGGAAACAAGGGGAGAGGGGGGAAAGCAAGGGGAGAGGGGGGAAACGAGGGGAGAGGGGGGAAAGCAAGGGGAGAGGGGGGAAAGCAAAGGAGAGAGGAGGGAAACAAGGGGAGGGGGGAAAGCAAAGGGGAGAGGGGGGAAACAAGGGGAGAGGGGGGAAACAAGGGGAGAGGGGGGAAACAAGGGGAGAGGGGGGAAACAAGGGGAGAGGGGGGAAACAAGGGGAGAGGGGGAAAGCAAAGGGGAGAGGGGGGAAAGCAAGGGGGTAAAGCAAGGGGAGAGGGGGGTAAAGCAAGGGGAGAGGGTGGGAAGAAAAGGGGGAGGGGGTCAAGGAGAGAGGGGGGGCAAGGGGAGAGGGGGGTAAAGCAAGGGGAGAGGGTTGGAAGAAAAGGGGGAGGGGGTCAAGGAGAGAGGAGGGCAAGGGGAAAGGGGGGAAAGCAAGGGGAGAGGGGGGTAAATAATAATAATAATAATCCTTGCATTTGATATAGCGCTTTTCACGTCGGGAGGACGTCCCAAAGCGCTTCTAAAGTGAATTGACTGTATATTTGTGGGCGAACGCGGCAGCCAATTGCGCACAGCAATGTCCCACAAACAGTCGTAGATTGAAAATGACCAATTTATTATTGTTTTTGGTTTTGGAGGGATTATTATTAGGCTCTGTGTGGAGTAAGGAAACTTGCCCAAGGTTTCACCCTGCCGGGAATTGAACTCAGCAAGGGGAGAAGGGGGGGAAAGCAAGGGGAGAGGGGGGGTAAAGCAAGGGGAGAGGGGGTTAAAGCAAGGGGAGAGGGGGTAAAGCAAGGCAAGAAGGGGGTAAAGCAAGGGGAGAGGGGGGTAAAGCAAGGCGAGAAGGGGGTAAAGCAAGGGGAGAGGGGGGTAAAGTTAATTGACTGTATATTTTGTGGGAGAAACGCGACTGCCAATTGCACACAGCAGTGTCCCACAAAAAATCGGGGATTGAGTGAACCATATTGTTATTATTTTATTTAATTTCTTCTCCCCTTTTATTTATTTACTTTTTTGAAGCGATTAATGCCCCCGGAAAAGCGATCCGACAATCGACTAACAACTGGGTTCTGATTTGCTACTCGGTAAACCGAGCCATGTGGAGTAAGGAAACCTGCCTAAGGTTTCTCCCTGCTCGAAAATTGAACCCAGGTTCTCTCGCTTGTAAGGCGAGTGCTCTAACCAATACATGACAGGACTCCACAAAGTTTATAATCAATACAAATATATATTAATAAATTGCTAAACTGTTTTTTCAGCACTCATTGCCCGGCCTTCCTGAACCGAATGGCGAGTGAAACGGGGAAGGCACTGAGGAACCGGCGTGTGACAGCCAAACTGGTGGATGAAGATGGTTCGAGAGGGTCGGAGAGACAGGAGGATGGACATCCCCGTCCTGTCAGCAATGGTGAGTCCATCGACCTCTACCTACCCACTTTTCTTCAATAATGGCCGAAACATAACGCTTTGGTAGTTGAGCTTCAAATTAGTCCTTTGGCAGGTTGTGCGTCTCAGGTGAAAGACAAGGGCATGAATTGAATGAAGCAAGAGTGGAAAGAAAGCTACTTCTCTTCTGAAGGTTGAAGGAGGTCCGAGTAACAGATTAAGGTCACGTAGAGGTGTATACTATCTATGAAGCTCCTCTGACAAGAGTGTGTCAACCTGGGTGGAGGGAAGGTGGCGGATCTGAAGAGGGTGGGGAAAGATGACCAAATATGTGGTCAAAGAGTTAAGTCTTAAAAGTAAGGAGGGATGGAGTGGAGTGAGTTGGAGGGATTCCCAGGATGGGGCGAGTTGGAGGGATTCTGGGATGGAGTTCCAGAGAGAAGAGACAGAATGTTTGAAAGTGACGCCCACCGATGGTGGGGTGGATCAGGTAGGGGACATGAAACAGGCTGGTATTTGCGGAGAAAGGAAGCGGCTGGGTAGTTGGGTCGTGGGAGGTCGCAAAGGTAGGGCGCAATAAGTGCTGATTGTGGTGTCTGTCTTCTTGGCAGTGATGCCTTTGAGCATCAAACCAGTCACTTGAATAGTCTTGCTTTCAAATTGGGTAATTCAGACTTTTCCAGAACCTTATCCCTCAACCGTGACCACTTTGTTGTGCGGGGTGGACCCTTTGAAGATCACAGTGAGTCTTTTGTTCACAATGATGTAAGTCACACTCAGTGATTTATATTTATTAATTCTACAGCTGGAACTTCATTCCTCCACCGCACCACCAAAACATGTGGACAGAAGTTGTTTAATCTTTCAAACACTATTCGCTCCTAAATGCTTTCTTTGTGGTTTGATCAGGAAATCTTTCTTTTTCAAATTCTCTTTCTCACCTCCCTTCTCGCCATTTTCAGTCTGCATCACGTGACTGCGTAACTGAAAACTGCAAAATGTATTTTATCGTAAAATTCAAAGCAAGTTGCTTTTCTGTATGCTTTGGCTTCTTCAAAATGAGCTATTCTCGTACCTGCACGTGACTTGCGAATGGGACTTTGAGCTCATATAATCTTGGCTGGGTCTACAACCACTTTTCAGCTGTGTATTTACATCAGTTAAGGTTGTAAGAAGTAAATCCATATAATTCAGGGTTTTGTAAGAGTAGAATTTCTATCTTGTGTTGAGAAATCAGTATGACTGGTAACCGATTGTGTGAGAGACAGGGCTCTATCTTAACCTGTTTTCCCATGAGAGGAGCAGTTGTATTTGACCTGTGCGGAAACTTGCTAGTCTGTTCACAGTATTTTTCCATTTTAGGCTTCTCATTTACCTCTTGAGCAGTGTATCTTGGAACTTTGTTCAGGAAAGTCAGGGAAAAACGCACATTCTCCATTTTATTTATATGACTTTAGGTGTCAGCCTGACTCAGTAGGTAGCACTTTTAATTTGGAGTCAAAACAACCACAAATTGCATTTATAAAGCTCCTTTCATGTGGGGAGCATGTCTCAAGATGCTGGACAGTGAAGGGTTTGCACCCTGGGATTGGAATTGTGAGGACTTGAGGGCAAGATGGGTGGAGTTGGGAGTGTAACTGAAGGGATGGCCAAAGAAGAAGGTCAGTGAGGCCAGTCATGAGGTAGTGAGCAGTAATGAGTAATGGGAATCCTGGCTGATTCCCTGGTCACACAGAGATATGGAGTAGTGTAGGGAGTAGTGTCCCAAAATACTGCTCTGGAGGGAATCAACAAACTCAGCGCAGAACATGATTTGAACTTGTGACTTCTGTGTGATCTTATTCAGTGTCAATCTCTTATCATTTTAATCTGTTGGCACCAGTAAATGCATTATAATTGGCAGTAAGCAAATTTGAAAATGTTCCATTTTTCCTTTGAGCTACCCACTTCCCACGCACTCTCTTCTCCTGGGTCAGAGAACTTCTGTGGGGCTAAGTTGAATACTTGACAAGTAGCAAATAATAATACCTGCATTCAATACATAGTGCCCATTCACCTCGAAAAGCTTCACAATATTGAATGTAGTAACTGTGTACCTGTAGGCAAACTTAGCTAAATGTACACAACAAAGTCCTGCAAACAGCACTAAGGTGAATGACTACTTCATCAGTAAGTAATCTGCTCAGCAGCCTAGATGGTGCCTTTTGGACCTTAGTTAAGTTCTGCAAGGAATTTCCTCATATCCTGTGGGTTTTGATTGAAAATAGGCAAGCTTTGAAGTGTTACTGCCTTGTGTTTGCATGTATCGTTTTCACCGCAGTGGATCAGGAACATTCTCTCTTTGGCCTTGGCTTGTGACATTTGGTGAGTACTGTCATTTGTGGAGTCCTATAGTGCAGTGGTTAGCGTGCTTGCCTGACAAGCGAGAGGGCCCAGTTTTGATTCCCGGGCAGGGTGAAATCATAAGCAAGTTTCTTTACTTCACACACCTCGGTTTATCTAGCAGTAAGTGGGAGTCGTAGTTGTTAGTTGATTGACAGATCACTTTCCCGGGGTAATAAAATAAATTCTGCTCACTCAATCTCCTGTTTGTGGGACACTGCAGTGCGCAATTTGCTGCCATGTTTTGCCCACAAAATACAGTCAATCCACTTTACAGTTTATCCTGTGAAGTGCTTTGAAATGTCTCAACAACGTGTTAAGGCAGTATATTAAATTCAAGGATTATTATTAAATGACAGAAGCCTGATTTACAGTTTCACTGAGTTGAAGAAGATTTCATTAGATTTTAATCAAAATCTGACCTGGTAAAAGTAGGGGGGGGGAGGAGAACAATGAAAAGGGGAAATCTCCAATCCAGATCTTGTTGGAAATGGGCTGTAGGTGGGAAAGAGAAAGATGCGTTCATTCTCTTTGGGTCTCTCACCTCCCCTCAGAACCTGAAACATTAATGTAAGTTTCTCTTTTAAATAATCCTTGCATTTGATATAGCGCTTTTCACGTCTTCTAGACGTCCCAAAGCGCTTCACAGAATATACTGTAAAGTGAATTGACTGTATATTTGTGGGTGAACGCGGCAGCCAATTGCGCACAGCAATGTCCCACAAACAGTCGTAGATTGAAAATGACCAATTTATTATTGTTTTTTGGAGGGATTATTATTTTATTTGCTGATTGACTGCTGTGCATTTCTAGTGTTTCTGGTCCCCAGTGTCACCGGCAGCTTCTGCTATCTCACTCACACTTGACAAAACAATTCTGTAAAAGTTGTTAAGCGGAGGCCCCGGGTGAGGGGGAGGGAGACAATTAGCCAATTTAGTTGCTGTGCGCAATTGGCTGCCGCGTTCGCCCACAAATATGCAGTCAATTCACTTTACAGTGTGTTCTGTGAAGCGCTTTGGGACATCCTCCTGCCGTGAAAAGCGCTATATCAAATGCAAGGATTATTATTATTATTAGTGAACGTAGGCCCTGGCCAAGAAATGCGGCTGTGAGTTAATGTAATTATAACAATAATCCTTGTGCTTCACCATAAATAATGTGAAGAGCTTCATTGTAGTTGCTGTTAAGTGTAATGACTGTATATTTGAGGGCACAGCAAATTCCCTCAAAGAGCTGAGAGGTGAATGACCCATTGTCGGTCCGGACACTGGGAGAAACTTCCTTGCCTGTACATCTTTTTATAAGCCTGCTTCTCAATCCATAACATGCAAATTCTCTGGGGCCGCACTAACCTGACCTTGTCCAGGGGTCGGTCAGCTGCTGCATCACAGCGAGCTACTTTCATTTCCAGAATAAATTCCCCATTTGTATAAAGGATTTAGTTCACCTACTTTTCAAAATTAATTCCTTATTAAAGCTCATTCCACATCTATTGATCCAACCCAGGTCGCCACTTGTGGTAAATAATAATAATCCTTGCATTTCATATAGCGCTAATCGACTAACCCGGTTGTTACTCGATTGCTGGATCGCTTTTCCGAGACTAATAATTCCTTCAAAAAAATGTAATAATAATAATAAATTGGTCACTTCAGTCATGACTGTTTGTGGGACACTGCTGTGCACAATTGACTGCCATGTTTCACCCACAAAATATACATCAATTCACTTTACAGTGTATTCTGTGAAGCGTTTTGAGACGTCTCGAAGACGTGATAAGGCGCTATACCAAATGCAAGGATTATATTATCACATTGTCGAGATATTTCAAAACGATTTGCAAGATATACCGCAAAGTGGATGGACTGTGTATTTTGTGGGCGAATGCGACAGCCAGTCTGCACACAGCAAAGTCATGGAGTGAGTGACTGATTTTATTTTGGGGGATTGTTGACCACGACACTCGGAGAGACTCCCTTCTCTTTTCAAATCGTGGTTTAGGATCTTAAACTGTCTGCCGGTTCAGGTGGACGTTAAACATCTCATCTTATACAGTTTGTCTGCAACTTGGCGTTTGCATAAGTCCTATTAAATGCTATGGTCCCGACTGATATGAGGTATGTGAGTTTTACTGTATAAGCCACTCTTTCAGGAAACAAAGTTACCTTTTTTAATACTGTTGCTACATCCGTAAGTAATTATGTATCAGTTTCATTGATGAGTGAATTTCACTTGACCAGGGAATGTTATGCTCGGACCTGAGTTTCAGGAAATTGATTGGAACAATTCTGCAAAGCTTTGTGTGTCAGCTCGCATAATCATTCATCCAGAATTTTTTTATGCCAGAGCAATCACGCTGCACAAAAGTGATCAAGTGTCTGTATTACCAGAGGGCACAACATTTTAAGATTGGATTGAAAGAAATGGTAAAACAATGTAGTCTATCAAGCTCTTACCCAGAGCATATCGTCCGTCCTCTCTTTGATATTGGAGTCCTGTTATTGATATTGGTCAGAGCACTCGCCTCACAAGCGAGAGGACCCGGGTTTGATTCCCGGGCAGGACAAACCTTCGGCAAGTTTCTTTTCTCCATTCGTCTCTGTTTAACTAGCAGTACATAGGAAATCTGTTGTTAGTCAA